CTATATGTTTGCCACGCGAGCGTGTGTTCGCGAGAGCGGTCACGACTATCGCGTGGAAATTACGCGCTAACTGAGGATCATTAAATTAAACTATCTATCGTCACGGCTCTCCAGAGAGCGGCGACGCCGTCTTCAATGTCAACTTCGTCAACTTTCGAGCATCCGAGATTCGCTCGCGTCGCCGCCATCGGTTAGATGAGTCGATCTATCGACAGGTCGATAGGGATTTCTTCAGACCACGATAAATAAATAAAACGTAGAGGGGAACATTTATATTGTGATGGACAGCGGCGACACAAGGAAACTTTGTACGCCAATGGTGACACGATCGTCACTCGCGTCAAGCTCGTTTTACGCGGATCATCCCTCCCAGTCGAATCAAATTTCCTAGCCCTGTCATCCATCTTGAACGCGATGGAATTCAGAACCGTGAGCGCAACTAATCCTACAATCGTTTTATCGTTTCTTCGTCTTCCGAAAAAGCCACTTGTCGAAATTTATCGGCGCGAAGAGTGCTCGTCGAGCTGTCCTAATTCGCTGGCGTGCGTGTAATCTTCCTCGTGGATCCATCGATATATCCTTCACTTTCCTTCGCATTTTCCCGAAGCGATTAAAAGGAGATCATTGCTTAATTTCGAGGTGGTGTCTTTTCATGATATGGCGTCCGTTGTCGCAGCTTGCCGTTGTCTTCCCGCTGATCGCAGGGAGATGCTCGGTCAAGAGCCGTTCCCCCGTGGTGGTGCGGTTCGATCATCAAACCAGGTAGAGGTCCGTCGGTGTGGCAGAGGTATGGTCCGGCTTGGTGCAGGCGCTTCCAGTTGGCGAGGCCGCGCTGGCCCCACTGCTGGCCCTGGTAGCCGCCAAAGGCGAACGACTGGCCACGTCGGCGCTGACGTCCGGACCACCGTTGGTACAACCGCCGCCGCCGCCACCGCCGCCGCCACCGCCACCGCCTTGCTGCGACGTATGGATGGACGTGTCTCCGTTACAATAGTAATATGTGGAGTCTGCAATGAGAAATGACGAATTACGTTCATCGCGCGTGGAATTTGCCAGTTTCTCTATACCTGCGTACAATACCTGCTTAATATTGCGCGATGATACGCGATAACATCAAATTCTTGTCACGCGTTAGCCCGCTGTAATTTCACGGGCTCAATTAACGTCGTATCCGCGCGAATACTGGGATACTTATTTGCATTTCGTGCGCAATTTGTATGTTGCAAATTCAGTCGCACGCATACTCGCCGCAATAACTTTTCCCGTTTTTTGTCCACGTGCGTGTGCACGTATCGCGCGGAATTAAGATGGAGTAAATTGTTTTCCGCGATGCGCCTATCTAATTTTCGCGTTTAATTATTTAGAGCTCACGTAACGCTCGCGTAGAATATCAGGGAACGAGAAGGAATAAGTTAGGCGTACGCGGGGAAGTAGACGAGAGCGTGCGATATCGCAAGAACGGATCTGCATTACGCGTTACGAGGTACGGGTTAGCAGCGTATCGCGTGTCCGATAGGAAAAAAATGGTTTATTATTCTATTCCTTTCTGCACGCGCGATGCGCGCTCTCTTCTATATCTATGTGTTTGCACCTCTGGGGTATCGCGATCTCCGCTCGATGCCACCAATCTTGTACGTTATGAAGGATAGACATTGTGAATCGCGCGCGCGCGCGTGCGAGGCCGATTAGAACCGGATGGAAATCGACGCGACGTGGCTCCTTATGGAACTAGAGTTCGGTGTTATCTGATACGAATCGAATTGCAACTCGCACTTAACGAGGAACGAGGCTAGGAAGTTTCATTTAAATCGCGAGGAAATTGTGTCCGCGTGTGCGATTACATGAACTGCGCAACTGCGAATAAAGTTTTTTGCGCCGAGTTTATATCTTCGCTGTATCGCGTACAATGTAATTTCTGCGGGACAAAGAATATGCGGCTGGCTTTCACGCGTTTGTTACTTGGAACAAAGTGGTCGGTTTTTCGTGAATGGTTGTACAACGACCGACTAGTCGGATTTTCCCTTTCTAGCATCGTTATTGGTGGGGCTATCGAAATATCAATTTTTATGTTGCTAGTACTTTCGTATTTCGATCACCCTAATCTAATCGGTACTCATACTCACTGTTTACTTACTGAGCAACCCGCTTGTCGCTGCCCCATAACCATAGCCGCTGTACGGTGCGCTTGAATACTGGGAGTACGCAGCACTGTACGCGTAGTCGCCACCACCTGAACAAACGTTGACGATAAGCTGATTAGCGCGGGTTGACAATTTTGACAATTTGCTAAAATTAACGCGTTGTACTAATTGCCGTAATTCATTCTCAAAACTGGTCTGGCAGATAGATTCCTGCGAAAGTGCGTAAAAGTAAATTAGACTTTCGCATTGTAGCTTTTGATTTTGCAAGGTGAAAAAAACGCGAGCTTGCAATTGTACTCGCTATTCACTTGAAATAGTGGATATTGCTACAATCGATGCCAAATGATAGTGAATATTGTTAATTGTGGCAGTTCATTTGTATAGTTTTATTTTCAAATTTGCCAGTAGCATGCAAAAAATAGATAATTTTAATTATATGCCAATTAAGAGACTAATGTCGCGTCGTAGCATCCTTCATTGGTACGCGACTTTGTCTCCAACGGATAAAATCCACCCTTTTGGCAAAATTACCGTTGCTCGCCATCCCGAAAATCCCTGGTAAATCAGCGCTCCTCAGACAGAGCTCTGACTTACCCTCCGAATGTACCGCCGGGCCCGGTTCAACCCCCGGAGGGTACGAGCGCGCTTGTCCTTGACAAACGGTTAAGCAAAGCGGTTTTTGGTTGTACTCACCGGTGGCGTAGTGTCCGAAACTTGGGAGCATCGTCGAGTACGGCGGTATCGCAGAGGCTACCTGGGGCTGAGAAACTGGCGGCTGCAAGACCGTCAGTCCGGGATCCCCTCCGGGGGGTGTTGGGGGCCGCGGGGGTGGCGTTTGTCTCGTTCTGCAACGAAATCGGGGGACTTTGCTCGCCCCCACCGGCCCCCACCCCGACATACGATACTGCGACGGTACTGCTCTCTGCTATGGCCATGCACAACACAACACGACATTCGAGTCAAGCACTAGCTAACGATCAGCGCCTTACGTCTAAAGCTTAATTAATCTGTTTTAAGTAGGTACCGAGTAGGGAGGAAAATTGGGATTTGTGAGATCTTGTTAATGATTTCGGAATTATGCGATTCATGAATGATATAATGATGACTCCTGTTTAAATCTTTCGTTCATTTTACTCCTTTGTGAATTTTCAGATGATCCGTATGTAAATGACATTTAAAAAAATTAATATAAACTTTAATCTAAAAAAATATTTCGATTTAAGCAAAAATAATGACGTTTTTAGTATTTAACCTTTATTATTTAAAGTACCATGAAACAAGAAAAAAAGATATGAAAAGAAAGAAATTGTTATCTAATTTTTTGCATTAAACATCTGAAATGTATTTCTTGTACATGTTTTCTGATTCATTGAAAATGACTACAAAAATGACTATTGTGGATATCAAGAGGATTTTTATGGAAAACGGAAGGCACCGCGCTTGATCTCGCGGTAAATTAATACCATAAACAACTCGACATAGTAGTACACACTTGAGATGTGGACATATTAGTTGGACACACGCCCATATCTGAGAGAGGCTTAATAAAATCTTATACTCAGCGAAACAGGTGTACATGACTTGGCGCGACTGTAAGAGAACTAAAGAGGTGGCGAACTCACCGGTGGTGTGGTAAGGAGACATGTTAGCCCCGTCCAATGTTTGGCTCAATTTTAGTTCTTGCATCGTCAGTGGCGCGAGCGGCGTCAAAGTACCACCTGCTATTAAGGGATCCCCATTTTTCCGTTATTGCGGTTCTCGTATCGTCGACGGCCAATCAAGGCGGAACGTTAGTAAAAGATTGTTTCATTGCGGAAAATGCGTGTATGTCACTTATTAAAATCGTGGTGGAGGAGAGAGAAATATTAATACATAGCGAGAATATTTGCAGCGCAGCTGCAAATATGTTTCCTCGCGTCTCACCATCCGGATGTGCTCAAAAATGTGGACAAAATGGCACAAAAGTCAAAGTAGCTTCGCATACGCCATCGGTTGAGCACTTTACTCGGTACGCGATACTGCTACATATTAACGACGGTGCAGCAAGCCGTGCGATTGCGACTTGAACCGTTTATGTTGTCCTTCAAAAATACTTCGATCCGGGGCGAAGATCCTCGATTGAATTTCATGAGATGAAGCTGCCGTTACACGCCTCGCTTCGTCCATTCCGAAAAGCACCGATCGGGGAAATTCGCGACGCGACGCGGCGTGACCGAGTTGTTCGCAACACGTGCCACCGGAGAAAGTTTCGTTCATGTGTTGTGCATCGCGTTTCGGCGGTTATATACTTCTCAATACCTCCTATCGTCTGTACACGTTCCGCCGCTGATCGACCGCCCTTAAACGGCGTAAGAAAAATAGAGATTGAGATGAAAGGTTGAAGAATGGAAGAAAGAGAGAAAGCGTGATGAGAGAGAGTGAATATATATGTGTGATACGAAGAATATAGGCAAAAAGGAAAGATGAAAAAAGATCCACGAATCAGAGATCTCGATGGTACAATATTTAGGTGACAGATAAGAATAAAGACAACAAGTATAGACAAAGAGAGTGGAAAAAGACAAGGAAGAGAGAGATGGCTGGTAGAGAAATGAGAGCGGTATTCCCCAAAGCTGTAAACGCTGAACCACCGTGTGGAGCCTTCCGCCACCTCTTCTGCCGCTGCACAACTCATGCATTATTAAAGCCATGTATTTAGCCGATATGGGTATGCAAAGCAAGACGTAAGCCGCAATAATAAGCGTACTGGAGGAGACGAGACGAAGAGGGGAAAGAAGAGAGAGACAAAGAAAGAGCGAGCGAGAGAGAGAGAGAGAGGAGGGGAGGGGGTCGT